AACCCGCACAAATATATGCCTGACTGAACTGCAGTTGCGCCGACTCCATCGGATTATGTGGAGTTTGATACCTTGGTCCCTCCGAGTACGCGACGTGTAGAAGGACCGCCTCTTGGTCACTTAGGTCTTGGGAATAGGGATAGGAGGTATAAGGTGCCATAGGCATATATGGCACTTGAGTAGCAGACTCCTGGGAAAACGGATGTGCAGAGAGACCCGGTGGTTCATACATGTTTGGGTGTAAGTCTCCAGGCGGAAAATAGATGTCACCGACATGCAACGGATCTAACTGGAGCTCCTGTGGAGGTTGCATCCACTGAAGAGACGGCTCCGCCGCACTTGCATCACCTGCGGGCCCTGAATACCATCCCCCAAAGGGGTTTTGGCTTGAAGGTGACAAGGATTGCACTTTTTGGGATTGCGTAAGCCCCCCTGCAGCTGATTCCCCGGAGTGTTGTTCACCGGAATCCGTAACCGTGCCGCCTGGGTGAGTGCGCAGCCCACCCTGACTGAACTGTAGTTGCGCCGACTCCATCGGATTATGTGGAGTTTGATGCCATGCTCCCTCAGGGTACGCGACGGGAAGAAGGACCGCCTCTTGGTCACTTAGTTCTTGGGAATAGGGATAGGAGGTATCTGTATAGGGTGCCATAGACATATATGGCACTTGAGTAGCAGACTCTTGGGAAAACGGATGTGCAGAGAGACCCGGTGGTTCATACACGCTTTGGTGTAAGTCTCTAGGCGGAAAATAGATGTCACCGACATGCAACGGATCTAACTGGAGCTCCTGTGGATGCTGCATCCACTGAAGAGACGGCTCCGCCGCACTTGCACCACCTGCAGTCTCTGGATACCACTGCCAAAAGACATCGCCATCCGCCCCAGACCATTCCTCAAGAAGGTGAGCTGACGCCTCATTTGCCGCTGCTGTTTCCATACCTTGGGCCGCGGGAAGCTCGGATAGCAGCGTATGCGGGGCCTCACGAGACGGCCCGGGGAACCCACCATCCTCAGATTCCCCCCCCTCCTTATCTGTGTCGGTGCCGTGGTCGCTAAGGCACGGTGTTTCGTTGACGTCGGCTAGCGCCCTCGATGTGCCAGCTGACTTCCGTCCAGACCTCAGACGGTCGAAGCAGCGTAACACCCAATATAGCACTGCCAAAGAGGCGAACGTCAATGCCAAAACGCGGAAATATGGGGGCCAGAACGGTTTGCTCCTATGCAGGGGATGCATGACCAGAGGTATATCGTCGCAGCAGTGTTCTGCCGAGAGGGGTGTTCCCACTCCAACGGGGTTCACGGAGGCTTCTACTGGCCCCCGCAGAGCTGTTGGGGAGAACCCCATTGGAAATAAGGTGTGCGCATCCACTGTAAATGTCTTTCAAATGAGCCTCTGGCGGTCCTTGGCTGGGCTCAACTGACCTCTGTCGGAAGCATCACCCCATAAACGTATAAATTGAGGTGCTAACGGTTGCTAAGAGCACTTGGGGAATCCTCAAGACTCAAGGTGACACGCAGGTGTCAGGTTTGAAAACGGAATAGGCTCGGGAGTATTGGGAGTGTGGCTGCAATGAGCAGCTCACACCGGGGGATTGCGGAATTTCAAACGGAAACGCATCGACAACAGAAGGTGACTTCTGTGTGGTGCTCGACGCATGAGGAAGAACGGATGCAAAAAAGTACCAATTCAATTTAATTTGCTTAAATTGAAAAACCATTTAAGTCTGAAGAAGGGGCCACTGCGACCCGCTGGAAAACGGATCGACTGGGTGCAAGATCGCCGCGGATAGTATAACGCAGGAGGGCCAGATCTGCGCAGTAGCGATATTTCTTCTTGTAGTTTGGGGGAATGGAAAGGCAAATGAGCAGAAATTAAACATAGCAATGAAAATTTATGTTTAATTGCAAATGAGCTTCATGGTCTGTGTACGGTCTGTGCAGCGGGCGACCGTCGTCCGTCCGTAGATTCGATGGTAGCAGTGCTAGCGAAGTATTTCGGCTCTTGTCCTGTCCTAGGAGGAGACGTATTTCTAAATACACAGCAACTGCTTATTTACATCTCCGTTGGCGGAATACCCCTTACTTGAAACTCCTCGCACCAGGGTAATATCACTGCCCCTCTTAGTACTGGGCTCCATGAGCGGCTCCTTTTGACAACCGAGGGTCGCAGCACATAGTGTTGACGACTCCCAGCCAATGTTGAAAATTTAAAGCATACGTTTGGATCTGAACATTATCAATTCCTCCTTGTCATTAAAACACACTCGATGACTTGGCTTCCTTCACTGTTGTGGGCCCCTTGTCTAATAGCCTGTGGTTTGTAGCGTGGTTGTAGCATAGTTTGTCCCATTTTGGCACGTCTGCCTCAAGTTGGCCCACTAACCCTTATCAGGCCCTAGTAGGCAAGCGGTAAGCAGGCAAAGGTTCCAAACAACGGTCTACAGTGTAAATGCAAACGGCCAAGAAAGCCTGCCTTGTGTTTCATGTGGGGCTGCCGTGCACCATGAGCTCTAGCAAGGTGCACGGCAACTGATGTTAGACTGCCTCCTCTACCGCAGGTTCAGGCGCTCGAGCCACTGCGCTACGGCCCCCTGCAGACTAGGGATGGTGGTCGGTTACTTAACAAGCTGTCAACTGAAGTCCACATATACGGTCTTCGACCAGCGTTACACTTGGTAGCGGCGCTTGCTGAACAGGCAGCAGGTGCGAACAACCAGCCCCACTGCCACAGCATATGTCCCCGGCACCACCAACAGCTAATCGTGCAGTAGTGCGGACAAACG